TATATATATATATATATAAGTATCGCTTTTTATTTCTCCTCTTTCCTACTACTTGTTTCACTTCTGTTTCAGTTTTTTATAACATCTCATATGAAACAGCCATTCTGATCAGGTTAAGCGAAACCTGATGTAATCTAATCTGCCCCACAGCACCATTAACACAACACATATCTTCACAGTCTGCGCACATTGATTTATATTCAGCTCCCACACAATGAGCCTTGTTTATTTGTGTGCATGTGTGTGTGTGTGTGTGTGTGTGTGTGTGCATTTAGAGATGTGGAGGAGGCTTAACGAGCAAGCTGAGTTAAACCCTTTTCACACCGTGAATGAAGCATCTCAGCCATGTCCATTGTGGCACTGAGCTGTGGCACTGATAAAACCTTTAATATGCCATTTTATTTACACACACACATATATATAGTGTGTGTGCGTGTGTGTGTGTGTGTGTGTGTGAAATTTATACTAGAAATTAATTAAACTAGAAATTAACATCTTGGTGAAGACTTAATTTTGAAACATACATTTAGTTATCTGAGCAACACCCATAACTGCCTCTCATTCCAGTCATTTATTACACATTATCTTGACATAAAGTTTTTGAAACGAAAAATAGCAAAACCTTGCTTAAATGTTACAGTCTGTTCTTTGAACCACCTTTCATGCTACTCCAGTTTCAATTTAGGCTAATGTTCATTCCAAGAAATAAGTGAATTCCTGTAACGCTGAGCAGTCATTACCAGAGGTCATTGATGAAAATGTAAAATAGTGCAGAGAAACAGTAACCTGCTTGTGTGCTATGATCCACAAATACTGCAATCTCTATGAAAGTATGAAAACGATTGAGTGTAATGAAAAGCTTGTGCATTAATAATATAAATTTGGTCTGTTTGTTTTATGCCTCTCATTAATAATGAAGAAAGATGCCACTGATATACCCCACTGTTCCCAGAGCAGCTCAGTACAGCACTGACCTCTCTGCTTAATTGTACTTATTGAAATGTGTGTATTGGAAACCACCTCTGAGGCTGACAAAGACGAAGAACCCTGAAAGGTTGAAAACAGATGTCACTCTGACATATTGGCCTCGATGGTTAAAATATACAATATGATGCAACTGTTATCCAGCTATGAGATAAATTTGTGCTGTCCAGATCCTAGAGCCACATATTCACCCATCCAGAACAGAACAGCCAGTCAGCTCTCAGCAATAAACCACAGTGGTTTAGGCAAATTATTAACTTTTCATCAAAAACCATCCTGCCGTTTTGTACACCATCAGGGTACAATTACTCCTGCACTGTTATTCCAACAGATCTCACAGGACTAAAGAGTGAGACTTGAGCACAACTCCAGTAAAAAGGACTCTTTCATCCAGCATTACACACACCAATTACACCCACTGACCCTGTAAAACATGGCTTTGTTTCTGCTTGCACAGAAAGAACTGCCCTCTCATCACTGATGCATGAGTTTGACTCCGTATGTGTAAAGCACATCTTTATATCACGGTCAGACAAGAGTAACGGGAAAACTGGAAGCAAATGTGAGTCAATATTGGCATAATATATACAATACATTTTATGGTATCAGGCAAGAGTAATTTCTTTGTCCAGGTTTTATTTTTTATCCTCTTGCTTTTTAACCTTGGAAGTGATAACAGTGTTGTGCTTGCTTAATGTGACCATTAGGTGGCAGGAGTGGTTAAATGAACACACAAAACATCTGTCAAATGATTTGTTTTGAACTCCTGTCTCTGACAGATGTTGTAATATCCACCCTTGTCAAGATACAATTGCTGTAAACACACCAAAGGTTTGTTCAAATTAGCATTAATGTCTACTTTATGACATACAAATAAGAAACTTGTTTTTATTAGAACCCATATATATTTTATCCCATGAACAACACAGAAACTTTGTTCTACACATCTATCATACAAATGTAAAGCTTATGGGAGAAAAAGATGGTATTAAATAGGGCCTGAAACTCTACAAAAGTTGCAACAATTATTATTTTTATGTTTTATTTAACAAATGGTCATGGAAATCTCATAGAAATTAGATGCTTAAACTCGGAAAATACTGATTAACAAGTTAAATTTAATTAAAAAGTTATACGAGATGCTTTATTTTCTGTTCCTTTTATGTGAGGTTTGAATTTCTGAAACCCCATTCCCAAAAAATGCCACACATAGCCTATTTAAATAAAGTGTAATACCCTGATTTATGCTGATTGCTAGCATAAAAATAGGCAACAGTGTTGCAACCACATTTCTTTAAAACATACATTATAAAAATATTTCTCTGATCACTTTATTATTATGCTAATAATAATCATGCTAAATTAATTTTACATTAGATAGTTAGATCTAGATGGTTTATCTAACATACATAAGAATTATCACAAAAACACAGGTGTATTTTACAACTTGCTTTAATACAATTAATCAATACAAAATTATTTTATGAGAAATATACCTATAAATTAAAAAATAGGAGATTTATTTCATTTTTTTATCTTATTTAATTTTCTATTTTATTCGTTTTATTTAATTCATCCAAAGTGCCTATTGGTGACCTTTTCCTTAGTGGTGAGTGATATAGAAAAATATAGGAAAATTGGAGACACTGTGGTGATGATATGGGCTTTTTCTTCAATTTCCCCGTGTTTTCTGCTACTCAAATGTATGCTTGCTTGCTTCATTTATTAATTAAATTAAATTAAAAATAATAAACTTAATAAATCTTGTTTTTTTCTTAAAGTAATCCTTAAGTCAAACTATGTACATGTATAGCCCACAAGATGTATTTCTCATCAGACAAGACCAAAAAGGATTTATGAACCCACTTTTGTCATTGTCGCCACCACAATCATTACATGGAGACCAGAGGACTCCATTCAAAAAGTCTAATTTATCATTACTTTAAATATGTTTTAGAGTAGTTTTTAGCAAGTAATGCCATCAGCACGTGTTATTTTTATTTCTGATATACAATGCCAGTTTTGCCTTTCTTGCAGTTTTGTGTGTGCTGGATTGCACTATTTGATAAATAAAACTAAGTACAATACCTTGCATAAAAGGAAAACACTGCACATACACAGGAATGCATCACCTGTGGATGAATAAAAGGCTTGTTCCTCTGTGTAAATCAATAACAGATTAAGTGAAGCCTCCCATTGATCTGTCTCGGTCTCAAAGACTCTGGAGGATTGGGACAAATCCCCTTCTTTCATGTGGCATTGAGAATGGCTGAGTTAGCACAGATAGCAACCAGTTTCTCTGTCCTGTCTCCAGCAGGGTGTTCTCGTGGGTAAACCCATTAACTATGTGCTTATGTGAAGTTCGGGGAGCACCACCTTTGTCAGGGTCCCAGAAGGGGACCTTAATGAGGCACTAGTGTTCGGCCAGAAGGACAATCTCTGAATAAATCCATCATTACAGACTAATTATGGCGCATGTGACCTGTGCTCCCATTCCACTGCAGCAGGGAGTATATTCACAGAAAACTGTATTTATCATCAAGTAACTATAAAGGTTTCTGCCACAAATCCAGTGATACAACTGCTTGTCTTCAAACACTTAGTTCAAAGTTGTCTTAAATTAGGACTATTTGTGAATTCTGTCATCCAAACAAAAATTACTATACAATTATTATATAATATTATAGCACTATAAAAGTATTACATATTTTGTAATAGCTGTGTAAACACATAAATATAATAAAACAACACTGGGATACATACATCCAACATTTTTGCTAATAAAAATAATATAGAGTAAGATTTTTTCAAGTCTTTCATATTTCAAAAAAGCGGTGTTCATCAAAAATCAATGTTCACTAAACTGACAACAACTAACAAAACCAATATACTGGGGTCAAAAGTTAATGTGTTAAATAGGCTGTTAATTATCTTTTTTTTTTAGACAGTAATGATGTATCAATAGCTTTTTTTGTAGCCAAGAAGACTGGATACATTAACTGTTTTTTAAAAGTTAACCTACAAGAAATATTGACTGACGTCAAAAATATGACAGCTAACCCTGGTTTCTTCTGGATCAGCCAACATAGACAAATAACTGAAGCTAAAAAGAAAGACAAAGCAGACTGTGTTATGGAGATATAAAACAATTAAAGATTAAAAGAATCATTACTTTTAAAGTTTTATAAAACTCAAATGAATACTAGCCTACTTTTATTTCTAGATTCATTAAATCATTAAAAAGGTTCATTAAAAAGAGATGGCTCATAAAAGTCGGACTACACTCTCCTGCAAGTTTATGGTTCACTTAAAAGATTCGGCTCACACGAGTCATTCGTTCGGGAATCGGCCAACACTTGAGGCGCTGAATGTTAGCTAACGATGCTTTTGGGCATGACCCCTGTATGTTGTTTATGTGATTCACTTAAAAGATCCGACTCATAAGAGCCATTCGTTCGCGAATCGGAATAAAATTGTCACGCTGAATGTTAATGATTCATTAAAAAGAAACAGCTCAAAAAAGCCATTAGTTAGGGAATCGAACTGTATGTTTTGCTCTGAATGTTTTCAGAGCCGACTATAAGTCAGTCGTTTGGGAATACACTGGTCGAGTTGTATCTTACAACTACATGTCTTAGCCTATATGATATTTAAAAGAGTCGACTCATTAAAATCATTCGTTCAGGAATCGGAATAGATTGGTCGGAGTAGGCTATGTTTCGCGCTGGAGAATCAGTGAATAGGTAGGCTACCGCAAATGAATTGTTCACACTACTGCAAGATGCTGGCAGACTGTTTTAGTACGGTATATCGAAAAAGCAATCGAAAATCATTCGATGTCGGTATTTTTCGAATAGAACAGGTTCTGAATAAGAACCGGCTGTCAATTCCAAACCCTACTTTAGAATGAAGGCTTGATGTACCGTGTCTTGGTGGCAGTAGTGCTCTGCGTGCGAGGCTCTCCACAGATCCATTCGTCACGGTCAGAGCCGCTATCTGGGCGGAGAGAAAGAAACCCAACTAACCTCCAGCCGACACTCAGCAGAGCAGCTGCCGCATTTCAAAACTGAGGACTCACACGGGGGAATATCTTGCAGACGTGGTAAATAAAAGAAAGTAGAAGCATCTCAAACCAAGCAATCACATTTTCGTTTGGATTTCCAACGGGTTTGATGTCGGCTGATCTGGTGTGAAGCGTTTTCTAGTTCAACTACTGTGTTTGGGGAGAGGAGGTACATTTCAGCTATATTCGGGTCTTGTAAACGGAATGAATGACCAAGACAAAGGTTGACACCGGTTCCCCGACGCATTTTGTCTCGTCGAAGGAGAAGAGGCAAAAGCAGAAAATGGAGAGCAGCACCGGCGAACAAGAGCAGCCGCAGCCGTCACAACATCAGCCCGCGCGGCCGCTACAAGTTACCGAGAAAAAGAAAATACCCCGGGCACCGTCTCCAGCAAGACCCAAGGATGTGCCCGGGTGGTCCCTCACTAAAATTCGCGGCGGTATCGGCACTCCGACGCTGAGCGTTAAACCAGGGGCCATATATTTAGGCGGCCGCGTGTCCAGACGGAGCCCGGTAACCGGGAAGGAGACAAAACCAGAGAAGAGTAAACCGACCGGCAAACCCGCGCTGTCCGCGCCCGGTGCTCAGAAGAGCAGCGTGAAGTCTAATAAAAGCGGCCGGAGAAAAGTTTCGGACGCCAGCATCGGATCGGATGATTTAAGCAAGGACTCCGGCTGCGCTCCGGGGAAACTCTCACCCACCGACAGCAGTTCCGAGCTCTCCGACTGCGCCTCCGAGGAGAATAAAGTCTCCACAGATGCGCTCAGCAGCGACACCGAGACCAGCAGCCGCGGGGGGATCGACGGCGAGAAAGCGGCAGCGGAACATGGACTGTTGGACAAGAGTGGTCAAACCAAGACCAGCCTGGAGAAAGACCGGCTCTCGCTGGGAATGGAGACCGCAGAGGGGAGCGTCTCTCCCGGCGACGAGCGCTCGCTCACCTCGTTCGACAGCAGGATGCCCGCCAGCACGTCCTTGGCGTTTTCGGACCTGACTGAGGAATTAATGGACGGGATGCATGAGGAATTAATCAGGGAAATAGAGGAAATCAGGTCGGAGAATGATTATTTAAAGGTAACATAATGATTCTATTTTTTTATTGTTATATAAAATTTGCACCATGGCAACCACAGTTTCCACCAAAATATCTTGCCACATTGTTTCAGGTTCAACATGATGTTATTGTCTAGTTCTTTAGAAATCATCTATGTGTTGGTGCTTTAAACAGCCAAGAACCAAAATGTATGTGACCCTGGACCACAAAACCAGTCATAAGGGTCCATTTTTTTAAATTGAGATTTATAAATTATCTGAAAGCTGAATAAGCTTTCCATTGATGTATGGTTTGTTAGGATAGGACAATATTTGACTGAGATACAACTATTTGAAAATCTGGAATCTGACAAAGGTTGACACCGGTTCCCCGACGCATTTTGTCTCGTCGAAGGAGAAGAGGCAAAAGCAGAAAATGGAGAGCAGCACCGGCGAACAAGAGCAGCCGCAGCCGTCACAACATCAGCCCGCGCGGCCGCTACAAGTTACCGAGAAAAAGAAAATACCCCGGGCACCGTCTCCAGCAAGACCCAAGGATGTGCCCGGGTGGTCCCTCACTAAAATTCGCGGCGGTATCGGCACTCCGACGCTGAGCGTTAAACCAGGGGCCATATATTTAGGCGGCCGCGTGTCCAGACGGAGCCCGGTAACCGGGAAGGAGACAAAACCAGAGAAGAGTAAACCGACCGGCAAACCCGCGCTGTCCGCGCCCGGTGCTCAGAAGAGCAGCGTGAAGTCTAATAAAAGCGGCCGGAGAAAAGTTTCGGACGCCAGCATCGGATCGGATGATTTAAGCAACGACTCCGGCTGCGCTCCGGGGAAACTCTCACCCACCGACAGCAGTTCCGAGCTCTCCGACTGCGCCTCCGAGGAGAATAAAGTCTCCACAGATGCGCTCAGCAGCGACACCGAGACCAGCAGCCGCGGGGGGATCGACGGCGAGAAAGCGGCAGCGGAACATGGACTGTTGGACAAGAGTGGTCAAACCAAGACCAGCCTGGAGAAAGACCGGCTCTCGCTGGGAATGGAGACCGCAGAGGGGAGCGTCTCTCCCGGCGACGAGCGCTCGCTCACCTCGTTCGACAGCAGGATGCCCGCCAGCACGTCCTTGGCGTTTTCGGACCTGACTGAGGAATTAATGGACGGGATGCATGAGGAATTAATCAGGGAAATAGAGGAAATCAGGTCGGAGAATGATTATTTAAAGGTAACATAATGATTTATATATATATATATATATATATATATATAACTATTATTGTAAAATCAAAGCAGTGCCTTTGCCGTATAGCACAATGGCAACCACAGTTTCCACCAAAATATCTTAGTTGCTACATTCAGGTTAAGGCTCAACTTGATGTTATTGTCTAGTTCTTCAGAAACCACCTAAACAGCCAAGAACCTACTGATCACAAGAACATATAATGCTACATGAAATCCTCCAAAATAACCAGCCAAAGAACCAAACATAAACAAAATGGCACTTGATGAAAAGGGAGGTTCTTTGCTGAGCCTTTAAATAACTTTTAAATTTTTTCCAAGGTGTACAGTTAGAGTCACAACAGTAAAACTGTAATGCAATATTAGTATAAGAGGCTTCAGAAAAGGAAAATATTCAGAATCTTTTTTATGCTTATGATTATTATTAGGCTACACTATAAAATGAAACCCACTCAAAATGAAAATGCTAGATTCTTGCATTTCAAAAATTAAAGTGGTACATTAATTACACTTTAGCCCACTTAGAAATTAATTATGGAATCAGGAAAATTAAGTTAAGAACCTCATAACACCAAGTAGAAATTACAGAATTTGTTGTGAGATGGAAACAAGACGTTTTATGATGATGAAAATATGTTTTACCATGTAATTAGTCAAAATAACTGTAGTAACTATAATTTTCTGGTGGAAACCAGTCGCAATAGTACATTTTTGCAGGGTAACCAGTATAATACTGTATTTGTGCCATATAACATTATCTAAATGAAATGTCTATGTTCCTGAAACTAGAAACACTGCATTCATTCATGTTGCAAGGCATGTATTTAAGATCCTTGTTTACTATCATATGGGTTTGTCATTTCTCCAGAATTACTATGAGTCATATGTAAGAGATAAACAGTGATTCTTTTGTAATCTCGGTTTTCATAAATTATCACAAGACCATGACGGGACAAAATCTAGTTCATTTGCCATGCCTAATATAAAAGCGTTAAAAAGGCTAGTGGCTAGTTGCTCTTGCCGCGCGTTGCTTGAATAATGCAGCTGTTTGTACAGATGCTGCAGCAGTCAAGTCAGTCAGTCCGCTGCGCCCGCGCCCACTTTTCACTCCATTGTTTTTCCGCGCGTTGAGCACGTGACGCGCGCTGCAGTAGTTGACCTATATTCACTGGAAATGTGTGACAGCACGCGGTGGCCCACTGCATCTTATCAGCCTCTGAAAGCGGCATGCATTTTTTACCCATTTGAGGTATAAATAGTTTATTTGGGTTTAGAGCAAAACTGCTTTCTTACAAAACAGGGCGCTATTATGTAAACTCTGTAGTAAAACGGTCTCGAGGAAAATCATAATGCTGCATAATACATTTGATGCAGATATTGGTAGCATCTCAAATGGCTTTTCACGCTGCTCTTGATCCTGGGTCAGGAGCATCTTGTGCATTTTCTTTGAGGTGGCACCAGTGGCAGCCCTGGATAGATCATGCCATGGTCTAGGTGTAACTAAAATGTCTAAGAAGTTTTTTGAAAAACCTTGCTAGTCATTTCTAAAAGGATGGATTGTGTGTGTTTGAATGTCAGGACGAGATGGAGGAGCTTCGCTCTGAGATGCTAGAGATGAGGGACATGTACATGGAGGAGGATGTTTATCAGCTCCAGGAGCTCAGACAGCAGCTGGATCAAGCCAACAAGACCTGCCGCATCCTGCAGTACCGCCTCAAGAAGGCAGAGAGACGCAGCATCCGCGTGGCCCAGACCGGACAAGTGGACGGGGAGCTTATCCGAACACTGGAGCTAGACGTCAAGGTTAGAGCGAGTTACTGTGCGATTTAGTAATTCAGTTGGAGTGAAGGTGTTATTTATTACAAATGAAAGCCACCAAACATATTCTGTTAGCTGCAAGTGATTGCTTGCTCAGTTGAGTTTGACTCAAACTACACTTTGTGAAAATGAAGTGTGCTTAATTGTATTAAATGTGTACTTTAAATCTTAAAAGCATCTTTTTAAGAAACTGTGTTTGCAGATAATATAATTTTAATGAAATAAAAGGCCATTTAAGTGTACTTAAGGAAAGTACACTTTCATGGTTGTTTCTTAAAACGCTTAAAAGTGCACTTTGTAATCATCTCAAAATTTTACTTTAGAGTACATTTTAAATCATTGTTTTAATACACTTTTGTCATGCTTTAAAGAAGTAGACTTATTTTGATGTTTTGGCTAACATAGTAAATCACATGTAAAATACCTGATTGTCCTTTTAAATGTAGTGTGTTATTAGATATTACAGTTGAAGTTAATATATTTTAAATGCACTAAATTGCAACTTCATTGCAAAATGCAAATGTGTATTTACAAATACATGAAATGACATAAAAGTATATTTTAGTTTACCAAAATTGCTTGTCAGTATATGCAGCAACACACTTTAACCATATTTCAAAGACAACAGGATAATTATGAAATTACATATAGAGTGGGTCAAAAACACTCTTAAATTCAACTAATTGCATTTACAGTAATATAAATGTCAACTATAATACATTTGAATGTAATTGTAAATAACATGCAGTTAAGTGTCTGAACACAGTACATTCAATCCGTAACCAAGTATATTCTTTTAAATTAGATTATTTCTGTAATAATTACTCTTTTGAAAGTATGCTAAAATGTACTTATTTTCAGAGGGTCAGAGGGTCCCTTCATTCAGAGGGACTCTCTGAATGGAGTTAATCTCATGAAATATCCAGTGATGTAAACGTCTGCGTCTGTAGACTGTAAGATCATGCTTTAGGCAGCATGTTATGCACCACACAGGCAACTGTCTCACATGGCTGAGGAGGACACAATACTTCCTTTCTCTGGTCTGTCAGTGAGAAGAGAAATAACCATGATGTCATTCCTGTCAGCACTGCCTCGCTGTCTGTATTCCTCTTTTACATGGCTGATTTGTATACAGTAACAGAGGGAGGAAAAGGACGGAGAGTGAGTTCCTCTGCCAAGCAAATGCTGCGGCTCTTTGTGCTACTGAGACTGAATGTGTTGGTCTTTAACAAGTTTTACATTGTCACATACTTAAGTTTTACTACTCAGGACACAGCTGTTAAGGATCAGAGGCTGCAGCACACAATCGATGTGGCGTGAAACACAGGAAGGGGATGGTGTCTGCAGGAAAAAAAAAAAAACATCTCAGCCTCTGCTGAATTCTTTAACTGCTGACAGGAGTCTCCTAACACAGGGTCAATTGTCTCTCCACACTACCGGCACAGCCAGGTCAGATTACACTGATCTTCACAGCGCTTGTGCATTCAACTGGTTGAAATACTCCATTGCTATCGCTGTGACAGGCACACTAGGCTTTAAGGAGGACGGACATTGTTTCTTTACATTCAGCTTAGCACAGCATCAAAGCATAGTGCAGATCTAAGTGCTAAGTCAGATTTTCTTGAAGCCTTACAGGGTTATGAAGATAACTAGTGCAACAATCAGTACTTGAAGTAGTGATGCACCAGTCCTGAAATAGTGATGCACCAAAATGTTCAATTAGCTGAAAAACGAAACTGAAAAAACGTTATTTAATAATCAATTAATTAATTAAGTTAATTTGATAATTAACAGTCTGATAAAAACTAAATAAAGAATAAAAAAAGCCATATTTAAATTGCACAAAAGGCAGTTTTTATATCAACTTGTAATATAATTATATTTCTACTACAATTAGTTGTTGTAATATAAACATTTAAACAGTGCTTGTAATAAAACTTTCTTAACATATTTATTTAAACATACATTAAATAATGTAGACAATAACAAGTAAGGTAAAAGTATAAAGAAATGTAATAGTGCATATATTTAGCCAGATAGTCCTCTGTTTGGTTGTGTAACATGCTACAGTGTTAAGGTAAGATTAGAGGTTAATGTCTTTTCAATATTCACTGTCGTCCATGGCAGTGCTGTTTAGCAAACCGCTCATCTGACTTTTATGTCTTTCGTTTCACACCACAGACACTCTCCCTTGTTTTATACATTATTTAAACATACATTAAATAATGTAGACAATAACAAGTAAGGTAAAAGTATAAAGAAATGTAATAGTGCATATATTTAGCCAGATAGTCCTCTGTTTGGTTGTGTAACATGCTACAGTGTTAAGGTAAGATTAGAGGTTAATGTCTTTTCAATATTCACTGTCGTCCATGGCAATGCTGTTTAGCAAACCGCTCATCTGACTTTTATGTCTTTCGTTTCACACCACAGACACTCTCCCTTTTTTCATACAAACACAAATGCTGCCATCTTGCGAATGTTATCAACTATAGTGAAAATGATCTCAGAAAATTGTTTAAAAATTTGTCTTGTTGCTAGGCTGATTGTTATGAACTATTTTTATTTTGTAGCAGAAATTTTATATACAGGTAGCCTAGAACTAACTGAAAGGGACCGTGATCACCCTTTTTTTTTTTTGCAATAATGACCAGCTGACTGCTTATTATCTGGCTTACTTACCAAGAATATAAATAATTGGACATGACATGCTAATATGAGTTGAACATATTATATTATGTGAAAAGAAAGATCTGGGGGAGATCTTTAGGAAATGTATTGCCCCAGAATGATACAAATAACCAACTGCAATCAAGTATTCAAGAGAGCCATGTAATTAACATAAATTTAAAATGATACAAATTAATGATGACAAATGAAACATTTGTTTTGAATTCTGAAGATTCTAATTCATTACCTCAGAATGACAGAATATCTGCTGATCAGTCAATCTGGCCATAATGTTTTATGTTAAGTAAAACCCTTGATTTCTGTGAACTTTTTGGGGCTCAGATGTTAAAGCACATGACCCACGTATCAGTTATTGTTCGGTACTTTCCTTATGAATGAACCCCATTCAGAGGTCAGTGATATTCTGACCAAGAGGCTGTGCAAAACAAATATTTTCCTCCCTGGACTCTATACGAGTTTGACTTCTTCCCATCTCTCTCTGGTCTCTCGGGATGAAGGGGGAGGGGATGATGTCATGGTCAGGAGGGGGTGGGGGTGAAAAGGGTTGATGGAGGATCTGAATGTTTGTAAGATCCCTGCACCATTTCCTGCTCTCTGAAGCACTGGCCTCATTTCTCATCCAGTGAGAGCAACGTCTCCCAGATCTGTCAAGGGAAGGACGGAAAACAGCTCCACACCTTCTCACCAGCTGCTGTGGCTTATGAAACTGGGTTTGGAGTTATCCATCTGAGCTTCTCCAGCCATGTGCTCATGCAAAACAACAGCTGAGAAACAGAGAGAATGATTACAGATGTAGGAAGCAAAAATCAGGAAGTTCTGATAAACTAGTGCGTCAAAACTGAATCACTCGTATTATAATCTAGTGCCTGTTTTTGCTTGTTGGTAGATATCTAAAATGGAATGCCATGAAAATTTCAGTTTTTGCTATCCCACTCCTAAAGGAGGATGCAGATGTTGAAGTCTCCTGCTTCTCAAAATATTCTTCTGAAAGAGTTTCATAACAGATCTCAACAATGTCTCAAACTATGTTCAGATTTGCTAAGAAAAGAGTGATGGTGACGTTGACGTCATGTGACCATGGTGTGGTTTGTTTCAAACCTTTGTTTAGCTTTTTATTTTTGGTGATTGTATTAAGGCTTCAGAATTCGTATAAGTTGTGCTCATTTGTGAAGATTATCACGATGATCAAAACGTGTAAATATCGTAACCCTTTGAGCTTATTTTCTGCAATAATCCAATGGCAATCCTATAGGGTTTTTGTAAAACCCACAAAAATACATCATTGCTGCAGCACTCGATTAGCGCCAAAGTGCATATGCAAGATGACCGTACAGAGAACACACGGTTAAAAACTTACTGTGCTGATGATGAAATTTATGCCACATGCACTGTATGTATAACCTAGCATATGCACAAAATTGAACAACTGAAGTATACTTCATAATGAGACCTGCATTGAGTCTCCTGAGCCGTAAAAGAGCAATCCCTGAGCAGAAAAAATAATTCTCTGGTCAAAATGAGAATAATAAAGAGGAAGTGAGGGTGACAGATGATGATAAGCAAGGAAAATACGGTTTGGTCATTTTAGCCCTCGCCTGTTCTATCAGCTTAGCAGCAGCATCCTGGAGATAAGAGGAGAGAGAAAGAGACACATAGTAATGAATACCTCCTCATTGTGTAGCTGGCTTGGTCCACTTGCGGTCGAGTGACTCGAGTCGCATTATCATCTATGTGAGGAGTGCACATGCATAATCAGCCATGTGCTGCATTCACACGTCAAACAGCTACGGAGCAAGACAAAGCCCTGCTTTAAAAACCAGATCCTAAGCTGAGATGAAACTCTAGAGGTGGCACATTTGAGATAACTAGGGTCTCTTTTCTAGAATAAAAAATTGAGAAGCAGGAGACTTAGGCTAAAGTCTCCATTTACTTGCCCTACATTTTATCTCACTGAATATCCCATTTCACTCAGAAATGCATCACATTATGTAAGTAAAAGGGTTTCCAAATGCCATTTTATGTTGACTCTATTACTCGCGTGTGAGCTGCAAAGGCAGGATTTGTAAAATGCACTCAAGTGACATATGGCTGGAAGCTGCATTTAAAGTGTCAGTCCATTTAAAAATGTAGTGAAACTGTGTTAATGGGTTTCTTTCAACACAACAGTATCTGGTGCCCTTGGACTGTCTTCATATGGCTCATCTGAGCTGCATGTGTGCTTAGAGGTTAAACAAAGGGCAGCTTGTTTTTTTTTCTAAGCAGGGTAAGGTTGAGTTTATAGTGTGAATGTGCCCGGGCTGCTGTCCCGCAGATGCAACCAGATACAGATCTGGAGGGAAGTCATTTAAAACGACCGTTTGCACAGCAGAGAGGCGGAGCAATCCTGAAAAGCAGGATCAGAGAGGAGCGACACACACACATAATCAAACCCAAAGGCAAACAGATTCCACAGAGCCATTTACATGTGTGACCAAGTTCTGCTGACAAACAGTCATGGCCATATGCAAGTGAGCCATTATTGGTCTTTGATGGGTCATTACACTCCTTTGATTTCTGCGTTTGCTCAGATATGGCAGCTTTTTCCACATCAGGTTGTGGTGTTAGGGGTGGACAACAAAGCACCTAAACACACACACACTCATGCATAACATTGCAGTGCTTCACTACCCCTTTCCCTGTGGATCTAGAGGTGTCTGTCTCCTTTTGCATGTAAAAATGACAACAGGCCGTGACATTATTGTCAGACAAAGGCAGGTGGGTGGCGTCCAGAGAGAATGGAGGGAGGAGTGAATGCAAATAATCTGGGACCAACAGACACTTATGGAGCTCTGATAAGCTTTTGTGTGACAATACAGACACACACTTACCATAAAACCCTGGGCCTGTGGTTTAGAAACACATTTTATACTATATCATGAAAGACTCATACTATATAAAAACTCTTGTAGTTACATTAAAAAACTAAAAGCTGTGGTTGCTGGAACTTTATTGTAAAAAACAGTAAATAAAAATGTTTCAGGATTTAATGATGGTGTTTTGATAACTGTATATTTTACAGTTAATACCTGAATATGTCTGTGATATTTTAATAAATAATCAAAAATAGTATTGGATATTTAACAGCATATAGATATTTAAAAATGTTTACAGTTCATTAAAAAGGTTTTTTTAGGAGCTGTGACAAAACACCATCAGAGTAACTTAAATGACACTTATAATGCAATAAACATGAACTAAAACTAAAATACAAAATTGCATAATTAATAACAAAAATAGGAAGCAAATAAATGATATGGGTCACACATAGACTCCTGGGAATATCCTATTATTGTTTATCAGTAAATAGTCAATATGTCAATAAATAGTTAATATTTTTACTTATAAAACGGTAGTTTTAACTGTCACCGTCCCACCTGTGGGACGCTTGGCGCTCTTTTTTTTGTTGTCCTTTTTCTCTATCAAGTGTTTTAGTAATCATCATAAATTATATATCGTTTGAAAGCTAAGAAGCCCAAGATTCATCCACTGAAAACCATTTTGAAATCAACCATTGCATTACCATGGAAATGGTACTTTAAAGGGGTCATATGATGCGATTTCAATTTTTCCAATTTTTCCGGCCGCGCCGTTCTCAAGCCCGCCGCCTCTGCTCACGCTAACCCTGCGGCCGTTCCTCACTCTAGCCCCCAGCCTCTGCTCACTCTAGCCCTCCGGCTGTTCCTCACTCTAGCCCCTGGCCTTCGCTCACTCTAGCCCTTCGGCCATTCCTCACTCTAGCCCCTGGCCTTCGCTCACTCTAGGCCGCCGTGTGTGACGCTGTTTTGTTGTGAATGCGAAACTACTTTGTTTGGTCTTCCAAAAATGGACACAGATATCTGCTTCGTCATGCCTAGAGCTGATCTGTGCTGGTCGCTGAGGAAATACATCAACTTCGCGCTGTGGATAGCCGGATCGGCTTTCACCGTGGACGAAGCGGAGTCCAGCCCGGGGTCGTCACATGTGGTTGTCGCAAGCCCGCCGGCTGTTCCTCACTTATAAGCCGTAATTATGTCCCCACTGGATGCAACGAATCTGCAACGAAACGATGCTCGTTTATAATGGGTTTTCATGTTTTTGAATCATCGCTCCGGCCTGACAGGGCATCATCACAATATGGTGAGGGGCGTATCATTTCCGTCTCATGCTTGAGGTATTCGGCCAATCATAATGCACTGGATAGCTGGCCAATCACAGCACACCTTGCTTTTCAGACTGATGAGCTTTGTAAAAATCGATGCATTTCAGAAAGGCGGGGCATAGAGGAGAAACAATAATGTACAGTATGTGGAAAATAATGTGTTTTTTTAACCTTAAACCGCATAAACACATTTCATTACACCAAATACACAAAATAATTATATAAAATAATTTAGCAACATCATATGACCCCTAAATGTTTTGGCGATCTCCTCCCCCTTAGTGGGCGGTGTCAAGTGCCATATTACAAAATGTATTACGGTCTTTTACAATCAAAACTTTTTATAATCTTGACAAAAACATATCAATTGGAAAGGTCTGAGTCTCAGGATTCCATTTTATTTTGTGATAGAAGCAATATTGGCAGAGAAATTTCAACATATGTTACAGAAAAATGCATAAAAAAATTCAATGGAGTTTGGATGGCACCTGGTGGCTGCTTGTGGTATAACGGCCTAAATAAAAACTCACAGAAACCTCAATTTTTTTCAGATCAACTTCAAATTTGGAACATACCATATTTAGACAGAAGGCTTAAATTTTATAGCAATTTTAGAGTAAAACCTGTTATGTAAAATATTTATTATATATAAAATATAATAAAATTAGTACAGTGTATTTTCTTTACAATAAATTTAAACTTCTATAACTTTTTGATACTTTGATACTGCCATAATCTGCTGATTGTCTTCTTTAAAAAGAGACCAACCTTAGGTCTGTATTCCAAAGTGTTCATAAATTACAACAATTTAAGTTTGGATAGTGCATTTTCATGCCTATTTTTAAAAAATGGGGTGACAGTTAAGGGGTTAATAATATTATAAACAGTATAGTACTTAGTACTAGTTCTAGTATTAGTAGCCTTTATATTCTAAATATAATTTTCAAAGATAATGTAGTGTACCATATATGCACAGAACATTTTTTTTACTGTAAAAATGTTTTTAATGTGACTAATATTGCATGTCCAATATACTGCAACATCAAAACAGCAAACACCATTTTATCATACCACAGCACAACATTTTGGGGAAAATAGCTTGTACTGGAAGTGTTGTTAAGCTGATTCGAAAACAACTACTGTAACTACTGAAAATGTGGTTAAGTTAGTAATTTTGCTGCTTTTAGTTAGTTTCTTCCACAGCATTGACAGATAAACAAAGGTGTTTATAGCTCCTGACAAAGAGAAACTGAAGATCGATGAAACAAGGCAGAGAGGCTGTTGGTGAGATAAAGAAAAGGAAAGAATGAGAAATGGAGGGATCTGATATGAATTAGAGCATGGTGTTGGTACAGAGGAGCATTGTGGGTACCCAGCTGCGCCTTGGCTGTGGTTCAGACACGCAGAGAGGAGAAAACGCTCGCTCACAAACAGGGACTGTGCTTCTCCTCTTAGCCCTTCACAATCCCCATTTACCCCATTCAGTGACTGCAGATCTCTCTTTTCCTCATTCCTCTCACACAAACCTACATCCTTCCTTTATACTGTATGTACCCTATAGAAACATACCAACATTGTCAGTAATGAAAAATGGTCTTGTGTTGCTAAAATGCTCCAAACACCAGTGTGCGTGTATGTGGTAGAGTAGAGATGGGTTTGGATTCTCTGTCTTTGTTTGCCCAACACAGATAATTGCCTCCTTAAGAAGTTACTGCAGCTTTATGATCAACCACTTTTAATGAGCTTTCCTCTACCTTCAGGGAGACATGAATCATAGACTTATGAACCAACCATCTTCAGTACTTTTCACTGGCAAAGCTAAAAGTGAAAAAAGAGGAAGCATTTTATGATAGGATTAATTACTACAGTGTGCAATATTTTTAACCAGTATTTAACAGTACACTGAACATTTTTTCTGTATTTATCAGCATTGAATGAATTATGTTTATTACCATTTCTGTAATATTAAAATACATATATATTTTTCTCTTGCCTTGTTCACCATCTTGTATTATTTTTCACTAAGCTTGTCTTTGTAGGCAGCTCACAGAATACCTTTTTTCAAAGAATATTTTTAATGCTCCCCTCATAAAAACTGTTGTCATTGTTTTAGGTGGCAAAAGACGTGTCCATCCGTCTGCACAATGAGCTGGATGCTGTGGAGAAGAAGAGATCTCGTCTGGAGCAGGAGAACGAGGAGCTGAGGGTGAAGCTACAGGATCTGGAGGTGGCCAAGCAGGTCCTGCAAGCGGAGATGGAGAAGGCCAGAGAGGTGAGAGATAACTGATCATTTTAGAAACTTTCAGGATGTTGAGTAGATACCAAGTGGGCTTTAAAATGAGCTGTAGATACTCTAAGTATGACACATATCAAATTTGTTGGAAATGCAACCAGTGGCTGTGAATTGTGTTGTGTTGTTATGCATTATGAAACTGAAGAAAAGATACTGCTAGGGTGGTCTGGGTGCTACCAGAGAATTGATATGTGGTTGATAAAGTGAATCTGAGTGGTTGTTAAAGCATTGCTATGTGCTATTAGGCAATGCTAGGTGGTTGCTAAGGTGTTCTCGGTGGTTGCTAGGTGGTTATTTACTGGCCTAAGTGAAAAGATCCCACCTCTAAATCTCTATGATGTTGTGGTCCCTAAATATGACTCAGGTCCTTCTTTCATTGTAGGTCTATGGGATTTTGGGGGATATTCTAGCTTGTTTCACTGGGCAAAAAACAGTTTGGTGACAAATCGCAGGGTTTGAGGTATTATTCCTAATAAAAATAATGTTGCTTGCCTTAGAATTCAACACTAATAATAATAATAACCTAAATAAGCCATTCTTCTGCCAAGTAATATAGTGCGTAAGCCTGTATTGATTAATATAGAATTTAAGTCACATGTCTCTGACCACAGATGTACGCCATTTGGATTTGAAATTGTTCGTTTTTGGCGATTTTAGCTGCAGTGAGGGACATTAGTGTGAGTTCTGTAAGAAGTTGCTAATTGGGGAAAAATGGGATCATTAATTGTACTTAATTTGGCTTGGGGCAGAACTCTTAATGTTGACACTTTCGTTTAACTTGAGGTGCAGAGCTTTGCTGTAGTCAAAGCTCTATGTGTGTTACAGCAGGAGCTGAGAGCCCTTCGCTCGGACCGATCTGTTGACTCTCTCTGTGTAAATGTCAGCTCGGGTGGGTGGGTTTGAGGGTGGACAGGGAGCACATGAATTTAGCATTAGATTTTCTTTACTGACAGTTTAACGAGGAGGAACATAAAGCATGCTCCTTGTGTTTGGCTAATTCTCTATTTTGGCCTGCATTCTTTTGGTAATAAATGTTTCTTTGTCTTGTGAGTAATGGATCATTGGCAGGATGGTCTGTGCTCTATTAGCAATGTCTGCTGCATGATTGAAAGTGATGAATGCATTATTGTATGAAGCAATGGTTATTATTGGTTGGTCCACTCTTTTCTTTGAGAATAATTTTACGGGGTGTTGTATACCGCTGTGATAGTCAATGCCAGTGCTCTGATTCGCTCGGCTGCTCTGCTTTGGGTCGGCTCACAGGTTTGCTCTGTGTTCTTATTGGCTGAAAGCCCAGGGCAGGATGCGTGCCGCTATCTGTTGTTGAGGACTGAATTCTTGGCCTAGTGGGCACTTATGGTACACAGCGAGAGTTCATCCTCAACTGAACTTCCAGAAAAGAGCCAGTAGAGCCTTTCAGACAACAGATGACTCAAATGGGAAGAAACAATGGATCATTACATGAAAAGCAAGATGATCTGATCTGATGATCTGATGATTGAACACGATATCTCACTTTGACATACATACACATACAAGTTAACAAAGTACAGGATGAAAGAGATGTATAACATTTATTAGACCAAAAAAAAAAGATTCTGATGGGTTAATCATGGCATTCTGCAGTGAAATGTTTTTGTATAATGACAGCTCAACTGTATTTGTAATTGACAGATTTTCTATGTAGTTTTATGTTTTTCTGTATAAAATAATTAAGACTTATTTATTAATTATTGCTAATTTTTTTAAAGGGGTCCTATTATGCTTTTTCACTTTTTCAACTTTAGTTAGTCTGTAATGTTGCTGTTTGAGCATAAAAAAGATCTGCGAAGTTACAAAGCTCAAAGTCCACTTCAAAAGGAGATATTTTATTTAACAGAAATCACTTTTCAAAAACTACAACGAAC